GAGCCGGGTGCAGGAGGCTCTGGCAGTGCAATCGACGTTGAAATTATTATTTTTAGTTATTTTTACCAAACACTTTTATCATATAAGCTAGTTTTTCAGCTATAAGTCATAGGGTATAACTTATAAGTTCAAAAATTACTTAAAAGCCAGTGGCGGATCCAAAAATTATTTTTGGAGGGGACTACAATTGTAATTTGAAATGAATTATTTGCCTATATAACTCGAATTGATCGTAAAAATTTAAACAACCAATTAAATTTGTTTATTAAATGAATTGAGCTTAAGCTCACATTCTTTTTCGTTTATATAACGAGTCAAGCCAGCCAACACATTTACTAAACAAACACGAACTTGATCATGAGGTATTCAACTCGACTCCAATAACACCTAGAAGGAATATACTTATTTAATAATATCACATCATATATAAATATAAGGCATGAAATTGAAGTTTGATATTTTAAATTTGTGTTCACCATTATTTCAAACCACGAGACTTATCAACAATTGACTCTATACTAATAAATCTTGCAATGCCTTTTCAACTCTCTATTTAAATTTATTCATTTTCAACTTTTCACATCGTACATTCAGTTAATTCATCACTATATTATAAAATAAAAACATAAATATTATGTTTAAAGATTGTGAAAAATTAATTTAAAAAATATAATATAGTTAAAAATTCTTAATACATAAATTATTTTAAGAACTAGCGATAATTATGGAGCATATGTATAGATTGAATATGCTTATAATATATATAGTATATATTGTGCATGATAAAAAAAAAAGAGCAAACTATTAGCAGAATGCTACAGATGACTGATTTTATATGAAGGAATGAAAATTGGTACGGAGCAGAAACAAAGAGATTGTACATAGAGCATTTATTAAAGCTCAATCTTAAAGTCGTGTGAAGTTGAGCGTGGAAGTATAGTCACTTTCATTAGCATCAAAAGTACTATCTCTGAAGGAAAAAAGAAATTCGATTTTGGTACATGATACGATGAACGAAATAAAGGCAGAGAGTGGGAGAGACACATGTGTTCTTAACATCACCGGCACGGCTGTATATTAGTAGACAATAATAAATAGTATTATTGCCAAAAAGAAGTAAGCCAATAGTTTTATTTTTCATAGATAGATTTAAATATGAAGGCTATGTTTGGTACACAAATGAGCTAGCTTATAGCTTATTTGGTTAACTTATAAGCTCTCTGTTTTTAAATAAGTTTTGTTTGTTAGGATGAACTTTTTTAAAAAGCTCGAACTTACTTGAAAAACTTCTTTGGGTAGCTTTTCAAATAAACTAGTTGAAATTTTTATTTCAACTAACTTATCAGCTAATTCTACCAAACACTTTTATCATATAAGCTAGCTTTTCAACTATAAGTCATAAGCTATAAATTATAAGCTAAAAAATTACTGATAAGCTATAAACTAGTTTTACCAAACATAGCCGAAGTAGCGTTGTCCAAAAGATATTGATGATCTTTAATAAATTTCATGTCATTGATAGAATACCGTGAGTTTTAATGCAAATAACCATGAAAGGGAAAAACCACAAAGCAATAGAGAAATAGGAAAGTGGTAAGAAAAAGCTAATAGTAAGTAGGGGGAAAAAATAAATGAAAGTGAATTAAAAAGGAAAATGTAATCCCATTATATATAATTTCAGAACACACTAAGCTGAAGTGGCAACTCCGAACGCTTAGTAATCTTACATGGAAAAATATTATGCTTTGTAATATGGTTTGAATAAATATTACTAATTTTTTATACCAAATAATTTAGGTTCGGATGACAATATATATACACATATTTAATATATTTAAATCATTTCATATAAAATCTATTTATTATCTTCTTTCTTTAATGTGCATATAATCTTACTTTCCAAACTTTGGGCTTTGTTCATATTATTCTCTTATGTGCTTTAAATAAAAATATTATAAATAAAATTAATGATGTGTAGTTTTCAGAATTTAAAATAATATTGTTAATTCACTTAGTTATTTGTTATAAATTGTTATATATTATTCTTTATTTATTTTTTTCAACTTCGACAAAATATGTAATTTGTTTTATTGTACATGATTTAATTATTTTATCAACCATCCATGTAGTACACGGGTATTGTGCTAGTTGCTATATATTAGAGGGAAAAAATAAAAAAAAGATAGTAAATAATAAGGTTATGTTGTAGTGCAATTCAGGGTAAGATTCTGATCGGAACGTTAGATCGGTCGAGATGGGTGCCAAAACAAAGGTAGGACAAGTGATTTTACATCATGGGTACATGAGAGGTTACGACTTGGAGTAAGGCTAGCCGGCAGGTCGATGATCTAGACCACGAAGCCCGGTTATGGGAAATGGTTGCCTCGGTGGGACGAGTTGGGTTGGCTTGTTGAGACGAGCAGAGAAAGCCTAAGTTTAGATTACATTGGAAACATGAGTTTGATAAGGAAACAAATTTGTTGGATGTGCAAACTCAATCTCATATCGGGAAATTAAAAGTTTTCTTTGATAGTTTCATCTCAACAACCGTACTTCTTTAGTATATATACATATTTTCAGTAACTTTATACAAATTTAACAATTAGACAACCATATTTTTTCAACAAATATACATATTTTTAAATTAAAATATAAACTTAAAACATTATGAAAAAAAAATATGACAATGTATAAAAGAAATATAAATGATGACCTTCCTCATGTTGAGCTCCCAAAAAATAAAAATTGTGAAAATGAAGGTAGATTTTGTTCATGTGAATGTAAAAGCCAATAAGAATAACAATGAAGAGTTAAGTAATAAATTATACTGTTTGATGTTAAGGAAAAAAAAAATGGTGAGGGGGACTAGTAGTATTTTCAATTGTAGGTATTACTATTGGAAGCTAAACATATCTATCTCGAGAATGAAGACAAAAATAGAAATAAATTCTATACAGTAAAAAACACTTGTGAAAGACCCAAATGCCATTATGTACAATTGTAAATACAACCACTTAAGTCTACTATTTTATATTTCTGTATTGGGCCACCTGACATGACATAACCTCTATATTTCAACCAATACTCTCATTGATTTCTTGTACTAGATTTAATTATTTAACATTTTGACATGAAGAGTAGGCGTAATAGTCAAACTCATTGATTTATCTTTTAACCAATAATCTCATTTATTCCTTGTACTCTGAGTAGCTAGAGTACGTAGTAACGTAGATAACAGTCAAACTTGTATGCAAAATAAAAATACCTTCATATTATTATATGGACTTGTTGACTTCAAACTAATTTAAAGTAGTTGAAAGTCTTATTAACCGTCGGGTGTAACAAGTGAATCTGATTTGGTGTACTGGGGATTTTCGACGGATGGGCGGTTCACTACGAAATCTGCCTACGACTCTCTTTTCGGTGACGCGACTACGACTGTTTTTTGATTGTGGCGAGTTATTTGGAAATGGGTTGGCCCCCAACGGATAAGACAATTTATGTGGCTGGTGGCAAAAGATTGCTTGATGACAAATTCTGAAACGACGTTACACACCCTGCGAGACTGTCCGAAGGCAGTACAAGTTTGGAAAAGTCTAATTCCAAGTAATAAACTTCCAATTTTTTTTTTCTTTTGAATTAAAACAGTGGCTATAGTACAACCTATGCTTGGTTGATGCCAAAGGAATGGAGGACTGGAGCTGTATTTTTGGGGTGACAATATGGAGAATTTGGAATGGGAGAAATTGTCATATTTTTAAAAATGAAGAGTTTCATGTGGGAAATCATTTGAGAGAGGTGAACCTGCATGTTATGGGGATCAAGTCTGCTATTTTACATGGGAAAATTTTTTTAAGCAGTGGTATCACACGAGAGAATCACATGATTCGTTGGCTAGCACCGCCCGAGGGGTGGTTTAAATTGAACTCAGATGGGGCCTTTAATAAGTCCACTGGAATGGCTAGTGCTGGTGGGTTGATCCGCAACTCTTGTGGCCAATGGGTTAGTGGTTTTATAATGAATATTGGTTTCACAACAGTCGCCGGTGCCGAATTATGGGGTCTCTTTCAGGGCCTTCAACTGGCATGGAACTTGGGATGCTCTAAGGTTATTGCCTCAGTCGACAACCAGGGAGCTGTTCAAATGATAAATGGGCAGCATGATGGCTTGGGGATGCATGAAAGTTTAATCAGAGGGATAAGAGAACTGATTGGGAGGAAATGGAATGTTCAACTGGTGCATGTTTGGCGTGAGTCAAATTTTGCAGCTGATTATCTAGCTTCTTTAGCTTCAACCGGCCCCGGTGGTCTTCAATACTTGGATGCGCCACCAATGGGATTGAAACTGTGGCTAGAACACGATATTATCGGTGTATCTTACCCACGAAATGTGATCGTTTAACATTTATTTATGCTCTTTGCCTCCTATCTTGTACCAAAAAAAAAAAAAAAGTCTTATTAATCTCTTTCAAAAATTGCATTAATGCATTTACGAAGTCATTTCAAGCTTCTCTAATCCCGCATCATTCCCCAATCCAAATTAAATATTTCATCTCTGAAACGAAAATGCAACCAACACATCCACCACACACAGTTTGAGTACTCTAGCTACATATATCACACCACAGACATTCAATTTATTCAAACACCCCAATCTTTTTAAAAATAAATACAAGCAAAAAATTCAATTTTGGTCCATTTACTTGTGTAAAGTCCTTTCTTGGTACATTAACTTTTTCCTCATCAATAATAGTATGTTATGTTGAAATTTGTATCACTGTTAGGACAGTAACCCGAAAATGGTTCATTATATGTTTTAGGATTAATTTCTTGAAAATGATACAAATTGCAACATAACTTACTAATTTACCGAAAAAGGACTTTAAACCAGTAAACAGACCAGAGTCGAAATTTTTCCAATAAATACATACAAACACTTCTCAATATTAATTCCTTCAAATTTCCTTTCCCTCGAGCCTCGACTCCACAAGCGCCCGAATCCTCTCGACCGACAAATCCAGCGTCCGTTTCTCCACGTTCGCGAAACACACGCGAAACCAACCGGGCTCCGAGCAGTGAAAAGACGAGCCCGGCGAAACATTCAACCCGAACTCCCTCAACATCTTCTCCCAGAGCTCCATCTCGGCCTCGAAACTCGCCTCCACAAGCAAATGCCTCATGTCCACCCAACAGAAAAGCCCCGCGTTTCCCTCCAAACACCCTATCCCCATCCTCCCGAGCCCCTCCGCCAGCATTTCCCGCCTTTTACTCAACTGAGCCCCATTAACCCTAACGTACTCGTCCACAAACCCTTCGTCCGCGAGTATTTTCGAGACGAGGTGTTGCGTCTGCGACGAGATGAGCCCGAAGCTCGACATTTTCGTGGCGGCCGATATCAGGGTTTCGTTCTCAGAGTATATCATGCCGATACGAAAGCCCGGGAGGCCGAGGTCTTTTGACAGGCTGGACACCACGTGGACTCGGCTAGAAATTGTCGAGTCATTCGTATTTTTTAGGGCTTCGAGAATGCTTATGAATTCGGGGGAGGAGAAAACTGTGCCGGCGTAAATCTCGTCGCTGACTATGTGGAGGTTGTTTTGGATGGCGAAGGTGAGGAGTAAGTTTAGTTCTTGGTGAGTGAGGGAAGTGCCGAGGGGGTTTGAAGGGTTTGTGATGAAAATGCCTTTGACTTTGAGGTGGAGGTTTTGGGCGTGTTGGTAGGCGTGGTGAAGGGCGGGAGATGTGATTCGGAAGTGGTTGGAGCTTGTGCAAGTTATAGGGATGAGTTTTACGTCCGTGCGCCATTTGAGGTCCCTATCCAACCTGTGTCGGACGGAATATAATAATAATTAATTAATTAATTAAGGCGGACTATCATATTAGATCGTGTGATACTTATATTTACGCGTGTGCAAGAATAATGTTTAATTATTTAATTAGGAGAGAGAGAGAAAANATTATTATTATTTTTGAGTAAAAAAGAAAGAGAGAATGTTATCGTTACCCAGGATAATATGGGGTCGGGATAAGAAAAGCTTCACCATGGTCAGCAAGGCAAAACATGAGAGTTTCGTTAGCTGAGGTTGCACCAGCTGTGAGTACAAGCTTGTTGGCCTCAAATTTCACCTTGTTTTGTCTTATTTTACTATTGTACTCTGCTAATACCTGAACAAGAAAAAATTTAAAATAAAATAAAGTGTCCTTTTTATGACAACATGGTGATCAACTCACTTATTCCACTACACAATTAACAATAAAACAGTAACACCAAAACCAATATATTGTAATATATTTGTTACCTTCTTAAATTCAGGCAAACCATTATAATCCTGGAAAAGAGCCAACTCCCTGAACATGGATCCACCCCTTTGCTCAAACCACTCGTTTGGCCGATTTTTCGCAATCCATGATTCCAGATGATCAAAAGAAAGCTATATGTACATTCCATAATTCTAGTTACAATATTATTATTTATTGGAAAATATACAATATTGTTATTAATTTATTGAGAGAAAGAAAAAGATTATGGAAATTGATTTCTCAATTTCTATCCATTTAGTATATTCATTATTATTAGGCAAAATTGGCCTTAATTATATCATGACATTTTTCGAAATTGCAATTTAATCACGACTTTTTCACTTTTGTAAACTATATCACAATCTTTAGTTTGTTGTTCGACCACATCAGCTTTTCTATGACTGTTTTCAGACTGTTTGCAACAAATTAAAGATTGTGATATAATTTACTAAGTGAAAAGGTCATGGTTAAATTGCAAATTCGATAAAAGGTTGTGATATTAGGGACAAATTTGCATTATTATTATTATTATTATTATTATTATTATTATTATTATAGCTAGATATATACCTGATTTTCAGCGAGGCCCATCTGAATAATCCCGGATGGATTATGAATAGGATGGTATGGGTTCTTTTCGTACTCTTGCCATCCTAAGAAGTAGGAAGAATCTTGGCCGTGTGAGTTGCATGTTATTTTCCTTGACAACATCTTTTCTTTTGTAAGCTTTCTTAAAAAAACTTTGAGGGGACTAAATTAAATATGCCAAAATGTAGAGACAAGGTTGTCGATCGATGTGTAAAATTTTTGGAAATGTGTCATCTATTTATATACGAGAAGGATAATGGATCCACTCAATTGCCCGACAATTGCATGGCAAGGACGGTGAATGGATAGTTGTTTCTTTTCTTTTTTATTTTCTTACTTTCTTTCTTTTTTCAGTGTAAGATATTAAATGCAGTTGATATATTGGACTTTGTTGGACCTATCTTTGAAAAATTACCACAAAAGTAGACGGGCAGTCTGCTTAGCAGGCACTTGTACAAGATGATGAACATTGACAAGAAAACAAAATATATATAAGAAGGAAACAAAGAAAGTAAAAGATAATATTTGAATATAAAAGAAGTTTGTATTTTGATAGGTAAAACTGTAAAACATGTCCAGAAATAACATTTTCGTCCATTAATAATTTTCGTGATGACAGAAAATATTTACGGACTAATCACATTCATAACATATATATCCCTACAAATAAATAAATAAAAATAAATAAATGTGAGCGTCTTTTTATTGCAATTAGTTATTTGATAATTGTTTTTAATTTTGTTATGTTTATAATTTTTATACTGATACTCAAGTTTATTTTGGACTTTTTCTTTTTTAAATTTAGAATAATTACACATAAAACAATTATGATTATTGAGATTAACCAATTTATTTCCTTCTACCAAAATTTAGATTAATTACATATATATTGACTAATTTATTTTATCGTATCAAAATTTAGATTAATTACATCTAACAAGGATAATTATTCGATTATATTGTAATGACATAGAAAATTAAGTCAAAACAATCTTTACAATAGTTATTGAGATTATATTGTAACAATGATAATTATTGAGATTATATGGTAAGACCGATAACTATTATATTGTGATAAGTATTGAGATTATATTGTAATAACGTAGAAACATGAAATTAAAACAATCTTTTGCAAATGCATATACACGTTATATTAATTTGTGTTTGGTAGTGTAATTTAATGAAAACAAATCACAGGGTTTAAGTTATATATCAAATGTTTTTTCTTCCATAAACATATATATATATTTATCTGTCGGTGATAATATTGTACTTCTGAATGAATAGACCATCTGAATCCGAGATATAGGCGATATAAACTTGATCTGTTTTTCCCATATATAGTTGCATAGATAATTTCCCTAAAATTTTGTCCATGAATTTTAAAAGTTTTTAAAATATTCACCAAAACATCTACCAGCTTATTACTATTAGACAATGTGACATGTACCATCAAACATAGTAACGTTTGTTGGTGATTACTAGTTCAACTATTATAGAACCCAATAATGTCAAATCTTGCTCCCCGTTTCATTTCCTTTTTATCATTTTCTGTATACCAATTCTCGAGGCTTATGTAATCGCTCACTCTGACTCCTGCTATAGATCACGTAATGTGCCTAACTGACGAAAATTGTGAGTTTTCATAATTACTTCATTTCTGTAAAGTCCAAACTTTGGACTCAAGGACTTTTATTGATTCGATGTATGCATCTTATTTAACAATTCAACTGTTATTCACCGGCCCCCTTTTACTACTCACCGCCCTTCTCCAATTATTTTTTTGCCCTTAACCTTTTTTTGATTCTATCTCTCTAAACCGTTTATCTCTCTAAAAACCCGAACATTCAACGCGCGATTCGACAACCGAAAAAATTCCGAAAAAATGTCGAAAAAATTCTACGGCATGGGCAAAACATTGTTCTCCGGCAAGATAATTTTTTATTTTTTTTTACTGCGTAGATTATTTTTAATTTTTTTTTTTTAAATTCTGCCCGACGTTCGGTCGCCGGTTCCGGACGGCCGAAAAATCGGCCGGAATCGCCGGCCGAACGGTTAAAACACCGTTCGGAACCGGCGACCGGTCGATACAAAACCGGTCAGAATCGGGGTCCGGCCGGTCCGAACCGGATCGGCCCCGCCGACCGGATTTTTTTTTTAAATAATAATTATAATAATAATTAATAATAATAATTATAATTATTATTAGAAATAATTATAATAATAATTTGAATTAATTATAATAATTCTAAATTGTAAATTATAATAATTATAATTTTGTAAATTTATTATAAATTATTATAATTATTAATTATAATTACAAATTGTAATAATAATTATAATTAATTTATAATAATAATTAATTAGAATTAATTATAATAATTTTAATAAAAAATTCTAGTAATTATTATAATTAATAATAAAAATTTGTAATAATAATTATAATAAAATTAATTATAATAAAAATTATAATTAAAATTAATTTTAATTAATAGTAATAATTTATAATAATAATTATAATTACTTTGAATAATTATTATAAATGTGAACAATAATAATTATAATAATAATTAAAAATTATAATAATAAAACGTATATTGATTATTATAAAAATCAATTGTAATGTATTTTAATAGTTACTATAATAATTATTACATATGTAAAAAGTTAATAATTATATTTATGATTCAGGGTATTAGCAGAGCTGAACAGTCCAATGTCAGGGACGACGACGAGGCGTTCGATGACTATTATGATGGTTCTGGCACCCAACACACTAGAACTCGGGGTGTCAATGCGTCTGTTCGTCGGGACAGACAGGCTGATCGATGAGGCTCGGAGGGTACAACTTCGTCAGGCTGGCCAGAGTTCGAGACCCCCTGCACCTGTGCGAGATGGTCCGCAGGGATATCATTTTGAGGGCCAGCCAGATGGTTCGCGACCCCACGGACTCCTCCCGTACGGTGAGCATGGATTTTATTATCCTGGGCAGGCAGGCAGTTCGATGCCCCCGGCACCAGGACCGTACGATCAGTCGCGATATCCTTTTCCCCGCTACGCAGGGAAGTCAATACCTCCTCGCGCACGCGTACCATTACCCTATGGTCAGCGGAGGTTTGCTGATGAGTCGTACGGCGAGAGGGAGGATGGTCCAGAGGAGTGTGATGACTCGGACGACTCCTCTGATGACTCGGACGACCACGCACAGCCTACGGGTCCTAGCCACCCTCGTCCTCCTGTCAGCCTGTTCTTCCGGTACAGCCAGTTCTGAGGCATGTTCATCCGGTACAGGCTGTTCGTCCTACACAGCCTGCTCCTCAACAACGACAGGCTGGGGGGCGTTTTGGCCCTGCTGCATCCTCATCAGGTAAATAATTTACGTATTTATTGTTGTTTAACATAAATTGTTTTGACTTAATCATAACAAATTATCGGTACTATTAGAAAAGTATTATCGGTTTGCTCCTCAACTACGGTATAATTATTTTGTAATTTAGAGGAACCATACAATTATTTAGTTAGAAAATTATTATAATTATTTTTATTATTGTTATAATCAATTAGTAGTAATGTTTAGGGGATTAATTAGTTTAAAATTGTCATTATATTTTATTAATGTAAAATGTAACGGTTGTACATTAATTGAAAAAAAAGAACGGGAAACTTATGAAATATGTTTTATTAAATATATTTTATTTAATGCATCTGCCAGCAAACCTACATATACAGATATGTTGTATTGTAATGCAGGTACTAGCAAACGAGCTAGGACCGATGATGATGCACCTTGGATCGTTAAAGGCCCAGTGGACGGTGGGCCTATTGATGGGAGTGTCATCCCTAGCTTTCTAGGGCACGTCGCCTCCCGCATGTGGAGTGGACAGTTGAGGGGGCTGCTGAAATACCACAACAGACTGAGAGCGGTCGAGAATCTGATAAAGTGGCGTGATGAGATGTCTCCCGCTGCGAGAGCTCTGATCGACGGTACCGGGCTGTCACATCTTGCCAACTCCATGCACATCCACTTGGACACCCCACTCATTTCTGCGTTTGTGGAGCGATGGCAGCCGGATACTAACTCGTTTCACCTGCCTTTTGGTGAGATGAGCAACATGCTGCACGACGTCCGGGCCATTTTGGGCGTTCCTGTGGAGGGAGCCGTGGTCGCTGAGGACCCGGATTCAGACGCCTGCCATGGGCTCTGCATGTCGATACTTTCGGTCAACAAGGGCGAACTCATGAGTTCGTCCTGGCAGCGTGGTTCGATGGCCGAATCCTACATTCTGGGGGCCTTTAGGGGGAAAGGCCGGCCGGCTAGGGATGAGGCGGGTGCTTGGATGTGGGTCATGCTAGCTACCACATTGTCCGTCGACAAGAGTGGTAGTAGAGTGACCCCCAAGCTCCTGCACGAGGTGCTCGACGGTTTGGATTTGATTGGGCGTTACTCCTGGGGATCGGCTACGCTGGCATACCTGTACAGACAGCTCGGTATTGCCAGTCGAGGGGACTCTGCCCAAATGTCGGGCTGCAGGGCTCTTCTGCAGTCTTGGATATATGAGTATTTCCCTGATTTTCGACCCCAGGGGCGTCTGCCCATCGGTCCTGACTGTGTTGCACGGTCTCGCTCGTGGAGCGTAGGGAATGCGCCAAGGACAGAGGATCGGCTCACAGCCATCCGTCGACGCCTCGACAGACTCACTGCCTCCGATGTACATGAAGTTATTTTATTTAAATTTAGTTACCCGTTATTTAAAATAATATAATTATTTTTATAAATGCTTTTATGCACAGGTGCAATGGTTGCCATACGGCAGCTCCAGCCCAGATTCGATAGAGTCGAGGACTCTTTATAGCGGATTGATTCGATACCGCGATGTCGTCGAGCCGTACTTGCCTGTGCGAGGTCTGCGTCAGTTGGGATATGTCCAGACTGTCCCTCCACCTATATACCCGCCAATCAGTGCCGTACGTGCTTGGGAGTCTAGGAACTACAGGATTGATCATTCTGAGGCTGGTGCAGTAGGTTGCTGGACCCAGTTCCCGATTTCTGGGATGGTCAACACTGCTATGTTCACCCCCACCACACATGATCGCGGGGAGGCGACTGAGGATTACATGGAGTGGTACAGTCGGGTTTCCCATCCGACTGTCATGGGCGAGGAGCTGGCGGATGA